ACTCTGAGCTCAGCTGTGAACTGAAAAGGCAACATCAGATCATCACTCAGTCCCCTCCCTGCTCTATTATTCTATGATTCCGTAGTCTATACGAGAGCCCGAAAGAAGTTTATCTCTGGGGGAAACACATTGTTGTCAATTGCAAATTGTTATTCGCATGCATGGCGTATAGCTTTCTCTCTGGTCTTGGGTAGAAAGGTATGTAAAATGGCTGTGAGCGTTGGAGATACAGGACTCCGAAAAGGCGTGTTCCCCGGAGTCTGTCTGAGCTTCCTTGTAGCCCCGATAAAGCTGTCTGCTGGCTGTAGGAAGGTCTGCCAGCAGTGACAGCTATTTATGAAATAATTTCGTTTGGGTGGTGTGAAAGCTCCTGGTGGAAACCACAATCGCACACACATCCTGTTTGCATTTCTCTGGGCACTGCAGGCGGCTCCATCATGGCCCTGCTCGCTCAGAGGGGTGTGCAGGGGCTGGAGCAGCCAGCTGAGTGAGCACCAGCCTCCTCCCTCTGCAGTCCGGAAAGAGGCACCGCTGCCCCTGAGAGAGAAGCAGGACAGAGGGGACCGATGTAGGATCCTGATCAATGCTAGTTCCTGTGCCTGGATTCATGGCTCCTAGTGGCCAGAGACACAGATCCAAGCAGAGACACAGAAAAGTAATGCAGAAGGGAAAACAGGTAAAAGGCCAGACATGGGAAAGGCATCCCCTTCGCACAGCCCTGGAGCAGCATCTTCTCTCACCTCCACCTTAAATCATCACTCCCGCAGCATCTCCAATGGAACCCCTTCTGGTGGTTCTTTCAGAGGCTCAGCAGTGCGCCCGGCCCGGTGCCAAGGGTTAGACACACCTTGCCCAGCTCCTTTGACCTTCTCAGCTGCCTTCTGATCGCAAGGGATGTAGGTAGCTATTCTCACTTTGCAAATGAGGGAACTGAAGCTCAGAGGACTTAAAAGAGACTTGCCCGACGTCAAAGAGCTCCTACTTGGGCCCAAAGAAGGCCCAGGCTCCACCCAGCGGCTCAGACACTAAGTTCCCAGGCTTCTTGGTCCCATTTCCTCTTTTCCTCTCCTGAGGCCCCAGCACCTAAATCGGGATAACAGAGACGGGGGAGGAGTGAGGAGGGAGTGGCGTGGCTTGGCTGGCAGTGGTCAGCTGCCCACATAACCAGTCTAAGACCAGCTCACAGGGCCCTCTTCCTACCTCCCCTTGACTCTGCCAGGAGGATTACGGACAGGTCTGTGTGGGGAGGTTAGGGGGCTGTTTTCTGAGATCCCTCAGGGCACCTGTGTACCCATAAGCAGGCCTGGGAGGAGGGGTCATGGGGTGTGGGCATCAACCCAGGATGAGTCCCCTGAGAGCCCTGGAGGCGGAGACCAGCAGAGGAAAGAGGAAGAACCTGATGCCAGGATTGGGGAGCTCAGCACCAGTCAGGTGGATCTGGGTTCGAATCTCCGTTCTGCCACCTAAAAGCTGCCCAGAACGTGGGGCAAGGTCTGGGGCCTCCCCGAGGGTGATGCTTCCTCCTCTCTATACTGAGACCTGCCTCCTATGTGCCACGGACAGTAGCAGCGAGAAAAGACAGTTCCATCCCTGAGGAGCCAGAGCCGTTAATCAAATTATCACAGGGCCACGTGGCGGGGAGAGGGGACAATAACAGCCTCCTCCTAAGGGTGATGTGTGGGGTTGAAAAATTGAAAGTAAACTTTGTATTTTTCCGGTGCTTTAAAGTTTCTAAAGCGTTTTCCACGCCTTAGCCCGTCCGATCTTCCCAGTCGCCTGGCAGGTGGGTGCTTTATTTCCCCCGATTCCTGGATGAGGTGACTGGAGCTCAGGGAGGCTGAGGGACTCCCTCAGAGGCTCTGGCAAGGAGATGAGGGCTTTGCACCACCCGGTGTTAACGTCAGGCAGGCCTGGAGGACGCTGAGCCTGGGACGGAGCGAGCGGGTGGGCAGTGAGCCTCTCGGGGGCCGCCCCTCCGCTGGGCGCCCGCCCGCCCTCCCGGGCCAAGGCCCAGGGCTCCCGGGGAACCGGCGGGGCTGCGCGTCTGGGCCGCCTCCTCCCCCGGAGCCCGGAGCCCGAGGCCCCTCCAGGCGGACCTCCCGGCGGAGAGCGCACCCCCTGCCTGCGCCCCTGCGACCCCGCGCCCCGCAGGCCGCCCGCCCGCCCAGCTCCCGCGCCAGGTTCCCCAGCGCACGGGCATCGGGGCATCGGGGAACCCCGGGGTGGGCCCTCCTCCGCCTTCTCGAGACTCTGGCAGCGCCCCCTCCTCTTCCCGCCCCAGGACGCAGGGTGAGGGGTGCGACGCCCAAATCGCTCTGCCTCCCGGCGCCCCGGGCCGCCACAGCCCGCTCCCCGCCCCGAGTAACCAGGGGGTGGAGGACCGGATCCTGAAACACGCGGACTGAATGGAGAGCAGGGGAAGGGAACTAGCAAGCGGGGTGACAGGGGTCTCCAGGGCCCCACCTCTGCGGGGTTCGGAGTGTGCTGGTTGGCCCAGAGGCTGGGCGGCCTCCACGGTCGGTCAGTTTGGACTGGGCCTCCGAGAGCAGATAACCCCCCCCACACACACACACACACACACGCACACACACGCACCGCCAGGCGGGCTGGGGCCCTGCAGGGACAGGGGGCTGGGGTGCAGCTTTCAGGAAAGCACGGCCTGTCTGTGCAGCCGGGGCGAGGAAGCCAGACTTCCCCAGCTCGCGGAGCCCGCAGGAAGCCGGGTTCCTGCGTCCCCACCCGCCACGCGGCTCCCATTGTCAGCTCACCGCGCAGGTGTGTGGGTCCCCTTCCTGCCCCTCCCCCCCCCCAAAAAAAAGGCGAAGGGAGGGCCCTCTTACCCTGCTCCGAGGGAGCACCCCGTCCCTCTCATTCGTTCATATTTTGCAGTTTGTAAACCCTTCCTGCATGGATTCCATTTGAACAGCATGGGAGTCACACTGCCTGGGCTTCATGGCTGCCTCCGCCCTTCACTGGCCATTGGACTTGGAGGAACTCGGGTCCACTGGCTTCCCTTCTCTTTTTTAAAAAAAATATATTTTATTGATTTTTTTACAGAGGGGAAGGGAGAGGGACAGAGAGCTAGAAACATCGATGAGAGAGAATCATCGACCAGCTGCCTCCTGCACACCCTCTACTGGGGATGTGCCCGCAACCAAGGTACTTGCCCTTGACCGGACACTCTATCCACTGAGCCAACCCAGTTTTGGCTGGCTTCCCTTCTCTGGTAGTTTTCTGGTCTATAAAACAGGGCTAACACTAGAACTCCTCTAGTGGGGGATGGTGAGGATGAAGGGACTGGTGCAGGTACTGTGCTCGGTCCCCGCACCCTGTGAACAGTTATGACTGAGTGAGCCCCTGCTGTGGCCAAGGGGAGCCTCCTTCATAGATGAACTTTCCAGACTCCTCCTGGTGTCAAAGGGTGAAAGAAGCTTAAAGCAACACTTTTTTTTTTTTTAGTTATATATATGTTTAATCAATCTTTATTGTTCATATTATTACAAAGGTTCCTCATTTCTTCCCCCCTCCACCAGGTTCCCACCCCACCCTCTGCCCCCTCCCCATCCCCCATTGTCCTCATCCATAGGTGCACAGTTTATGTTCAGTCTCTTCCTCCCTCCCTTTCCCTGATAGTAAATCCCTTTTCAGATAGTAAATCTGTTACTTAGCATTTTCTCATATCAATAATACCTCCACATGCCCAATGATACACTTCACACAAAAGACATTTCCAAATAGGTCAACCAGCCTCATCCAGGCCCCACCCAAGGCACTCACAGATCAACACCCTAGCGCTATACTAACTCAACACATCCAGATCTAAGCCTTCATCACTTGATTCAGCAGACCCTCAAGTTCCCGCAAAAGTTTCCAGCCATGCCTGAGAGGCAGCCGTGGGGCAGGGGCAGGCGAGGAGTGAGCTGTTTCGGGCCTGGCTGCTTCGGGCCTGGCCTCTGTTGCTCTGGTTCGTTCCACAACCAGCTGCTCCGGGCCTGGCCACTGCCGCTCCCGACCTAGTTGCTGTGGACTTAGCTGCTGGTGCTCCGGGCCTGGCCACTCCCAGCCTGGCAGCTGCTGCTCCAGGCCTGGCCACTCCCAGCCTGGCAGCCGCTGCTCCAGGCCCGGCCGCACCAGACCCGGCTGCTCCGAGCCTGGCCGTAAAGCAACACTTTTTGACAGACAGGTGCATGCAGATATCTTGCTAAAGGCAGATTCCCATTCAGTCCATGGGGGTGGGCACTGTCTGAGCTCCTGGCCAGTCCCTTGTGGGAGCTGCCACCAGAACACTCTTTTAGCAAGGTCTCAGGGCCGGGGCAGTGGTTTGAACACTTGACGGTGAGTCAGAGTCATTGGGAGGGCTTGTGAAAGCGGATCACTGGGCTCTGCTCCCGGAGTCTCTCCCTCAGTAGGTCTTGGGTGATTGAGGCCCTGGGACCTGCATTTCTAACAGTTGATGTTGCTGAGGACAGAGAACCTGTTTTAGAGCATCTTGCCCACTACTGTCAAGCTGGGGCGGTGGCAGAGGCCATTGAACAGCCAAAGGCAGCTTCTTGTACTGTGGGAAGAAAGCTGTGGGGGTGAGGGAGCCAAGCAACTTCCCATTTCTCAGGGGGTTAAGACACCAGAAGGAAAGGCAAAGGGACAACATGGGTTCTTTCTCAGCATCCTTTAAAAAATAAGAGAGACAGGCCCTAGCCGGTTTGGCTCAGTGGATAAAGCATTGGTCTGTGGACTTAAAGGGTCCCAGGTTCAGTTCCGGTCAAGGGCAGGTGCCTTGGTTGCGGGCACATCCCCAGTGAGGGGTGTGCAGGAGGCAGCTGATCTCTCATGGATGTTTCTAGCTCTCTATCCCTCTCCCTTCCACTCTGTAAAAAATCAATAAAATATTTTTTTTAAATTTAAATAAGAGAGACAGGGAAAGGCTGCTCGGCTGCTTCCTAACCAAGGGAACTGAGGCCCTTGAGGTTTACGTCTTCCTATTCGGGGCCCTCTCTCGCCAGACAACCAGGAGAACCGAGGGAAAGCGGAGGGCGGCAGCAAAGCCCGCAAGGAGAGGACGGCATTCACCAAGGAGCAGCTGCGGGAGCTGGAGGCCGAGTTCGCTCACCACAACTACCTGACCCGGCTCCGGAGATACGAGATCGCTGTGAACTTGGATCTGTCCGAGAGGCAGGTGGGAGCTCTGGGGACCCTGCTGCTCTCCTGGGCATCCCTCTTCTCCTGAGCATCCCTCCTGTCCTTGGCTCTCTCATCCTTCTCCCTGCATCTTCCCCAGGTCTTCTCCCTCTGCCCAGTCCAATGGGCCTCAACCGTGGCTGTACCCGACAATCTCCTGGGGAGATTTTAATGACACTGATGGGATGGGATTGGTTTCATGGGACTGGAATAGAGTTCAGGCATCAGAGTTTATGTAAAGGTCCCCCAGGGTGATTCTCACCTGCACCCAGCCTTGGAACCCCTGGTCTGGTTATTCTCAAGCTTGCGTGCGACTGGAGTCACCTAGGTGCTCGTTTGAAGCATGTAGATGTGGGAGTTCCGGAGAGAGACTTTGCAGTAATCACGGGGAGGGGGCCTGGGATCTGCATTTCTAATACGTTCTGCAGGTGGTTCCGGTACGGGCTGGTTCCTGGGCACTCGCCGAGAAGGACTTCCTAGCCCTTTGTTTTGGGCTTTCCCTTAGAGCATTCCACCCACACCCATGCTCTGACGTGGAGTGAGGAATAATAATAATGATGATGGTGGTAACAATAGTATTAGATAGCACTCTGCCAGAGGGCTGGATTTAGAATCAGAAGACTTAGATTCCAATCCTGCCTCTGCCACGTCCTAGGCCTGTGACCCTTGGGACATGTCTCCCACCCTTTCTGGGTCTCCATCTGTAAGACGGGTCATAACCCCACTCTGGATGCAGCCCGGATGAGAAAATGTGCGAAACAGCAGCGTTATCTAAGCTTTACAAATGTGCCCAGAGATGAGGCTAGTTTCCTTTGCTCCCAGACCCTTGGGTAACAGAAGCCAGAGGGAGAGGGTGGTAGCACAGGAGGGGCGGGGCATGTGGAAGGGGGTGGAGCCAAGGACGAGTGACTTGTAAAAACTGTCCCCATGTGTGCCTGGGACTTTTTTTTTTTTTTTTCTTCAATCTGGAGACACAAGACAGGCCTCTGAGCAGATGGGTACGTCCTCCCTTTGGTCTCTGTTCTTGGAGCCTTGGGAGGAGTGAGGAGGGACAAGCAGTGCTCAGAGCTGGGTCCCTGGAGCTGCCCCCTGGCTAGCTTGAGTATCCGCTGGGGAGATGGTTGCCCTGACCCGGCTCCTTTACTTCCTTTGTCAGGTCAAAGTGTGGTTCCAGAACCGAAGGATGAAGTGGAAGCGTGTGAAGGGGGGCCAGCCCATCTCCCCTCACGGGCAGGACCCCGAGGATGGGGACTCTGCAGCTTCTCCGAGTTCGGAGTGAGGTTCTCCACGGAGAAAAACAGACTGAGGACTGAGTCCCTACCCAACCCCCCCACCCCAATCCCAATGTCCCCTTCTCCCTCCCACCCCAGGGCAGCCTTCCCACATCTTGCAGTGACTCTTGGAAAAGAAGCTGCCTAGTGTTCCTGGGAGCCTTGACATTTTCCAGAAAGTTCTGTCCAGCATTGCTGTCTTAGCTATCCCTTTCCCAGGGCCTTTTCTTCCCATAATCCTTGTGAATCATTCAGCGGCCAGATCAGACCTGAGTGAATCTGGGGGGCAACTCCAGGGTCTCTTGACTGCTGCCCACACCTTCCCCTGCCAGCCTCCTCCTCCAGGTCTGAACACCACCTGGCCTGCTGGGGGAGCGGCCTTGGGACCAGCTGGTGACTCATGACAGCTAATGCTTCACAAGAAGTGAAATGACCGACACACACACCCCGAGACCACCTTTCCTTTCTGGGCTCTCTATCTGAGCCTTTGGGGGCCCTGAGTTGTCCCAAAACCCCTGGGAAAATCAGAGTGAGGAGGGTTGAGGGTCGAAACTCAGCTGCTGCGAATCAGAAACCATCCTGGTCTCCAAATGGGTTGGCTGTGAGGTGGCCAAGCTTAGTAACACTGGCCGGAAGAAGACGGCGGGAAAACATGTCGGCGCACCTACATCTCTGTACAGGCCCATTCACACCGGCTTAACTTGAGGGGGGTGGGGGTGGGGAGATGAGAATGGACCCAGGACACCACCTGCTTTTTCAAAATTAATTCGGAAATACAGCTGGGACTGTTGGGCAGCATCCAGACCAATGGAGCAGGTAGACCTTTTAAATCCACAGCTTCTGGATTGGAAAACGCCCCAGATGCTCACATTGTTGAACTGAGGGCTGGGAAGCATCCCCCATGTTCTAGGGCTGCCGGGCAAGGGGCTGGGAATGTGGGAGCGGGAGAGCAGGGCTCCCCAGCGGCAGTGTCCTGTGCTTTCCCCAGACCAACGGCACACGGGGACGACCAAGCAGCCCCCCGTTCTCCACGGGCTGCGTTTGGGCCGCTCTGACGTGTTCCACACAAATGCTATCTTTATGGGAGGAGCTGCTAGTTTATGGGTGTGGACTGCCCGGGTCCTCCGGGGTGACAGTCCAGGCCTGATGGCCGAACAGCCTGGGACAACGGAAGCCCTCGAGAGAGACCCCCTGCCTGCCCCAGTGCTCCATCTCCCATGCCAGCTGCTGTCGCAGAGGGAGGTCAGCACGAGTTTGGATCTCCTGTATGTATATTTAATCATTCACTTGTAAAAAAAAAAAAAAAAAAAAAAAAAAGAACCCCACCTCCCCATCCCAAAAGGACCACTGTGTGGGAAATGATTGCCAAGTGAGATGGCTGGTTAGAGCATGCGTAATTTCTTCCTCTAAATCATACTTCATCTGTTTTCTTAAGATTGCATCAAGGTAACTGCACGAGGTCAATTCACTTGGTAAGAAAACTCCTGGAAAAATAAAACCAGTAAAACATGCGAAGCTCCCACGCCTTTTCCTTGCAGAGCGAAGGATCACAGCTCTGTGTGCAGTCCTCCAATGCTCCTGTGAGGGTGGACCAGTGTCTAGAAGCAACAACAAAGGGGAGAAGATATCTAGAAAAAGGTGCCCCCTTTAGGTTCTTCAGGACGGGGGCCAGGGGTGCAAATGTAATTGTTGCTGCCCCCCCCCCCCAAAAAAAATCTTTCTCCCATACAACTGCACGGTCCTGTTTCCCATTGTAAAATGTTAGCTTTCAGCTTCCCTATCCTCTGGCTTATTGAATAGTCAAAAGTTCTGTATACAAAAGATGAACTCTTTTGTTAATAAAGAAATCTTGACCATCAACTAACCATCCCTAATTTTTTAAATCAAAGTTTGGAAGTTTTTTGTTTTTGTTTTTGTTTTGTTTTTCAGGGTAAAACAATATACATCGATAGTAATAAAAATAACACAAGGAAAAAGTGTCCCTAATTCTATGTCTTTTTAATTAAAAAATATTTGTTTCCCTGAGATGTCAACAATGGACATAATAGGACTGGCTAGAGAGGGGAGGGAGGGAGGGAGGGGAAAAGGGCGGGAGGGAGGGAGGGAGGGGAGACCTGGCCAGGAATCAGCTTTGAGGCCGTCTGGGCCAGGTGTGGGCAGTGACCAGAAATGCCATCCTCAGGAGCTGGCAGAGGAAAGCGGACCCACCAAAATCAAGGTACCACCGAGAAGGGTCAGGTCCAAAGCTAAGCAAAACAGACCCCCTTCAAGGACTCTAACACTTTCTCCCCGCTTCACTCCAGCGGCTTCATAGGACATTGGCCTCTCTGGGGTTTTCCTCATCTGTCCAGAATGTTCCTTCTATGTCTCCCGTATAGACTCCTTTCTCCATGCTGTTGACCTCCTGCTGGTTCCCAAGATCTTCTCCTTCTGTCCACTGCCTCCCCCCTCTTCAGGTTCTCCCCATCTACCTACATTTTTGTGCTGTGGTAAAATATGCATGACGTAAAATTTCAGCCGTTGTTCGTGTACAGTTCTGTGCAATTAAGTACTTTCACATTGTTGTGCAACCATTGGCACTTTCCTCTCCTGAATTTTTTCATCTTCCCAAACAAATTCTGTACCCACTAAAAAATAACTCCCTTCCCTCCTCCTTCCCATCCACCTTCATCCGCTCAGTGTTTGCTCCGTGTTGGGCGCTGTTCTCAGAGGTAGCACTAGTATTCCTGTCTTACGATGAGGTACCTAAGGCAGAGCCAAGGAGACTGCATCCCAAGGTCTTACAGCCTGTTAGCGGTTGTGGTCAAGCAGATAATGGGGCCCCGTTGTTTTCCTCCTTCTCCTCTAAGGACCATTGCCAGAGGCTGTACCTCCAGGGGGAGGAAGGTACTTCCTTGCGCCATTGAATCCAGGCCTGTCCCTGTGACCTGCTTTGGCCAATAGAAAGTGAGCAGAAGCGCCGGCCGCTGGCCTACTAGTAAGCAGAAGTTTCAGAGCCATCCTGGTCTCTGCCACTGCTCTCTTCCCTCTGAATGTGGCTGAGAGGGGTTCCACCAATCGCCTGGGCTGCAGAACCCATTGCCTGCATATATGTCAGTGAGGATATAGAAGTCTGTTGCCGTAAGCTACTGGGATTTGGGGGTCTTTTGTCACCGCTGCACCACCTCATGAAAACTGACGGCTCCAGTGATGACATTGGGATTTGAGTCCTGGCATTCTGGCATCTGGCCAACACTTCCCTATGCCCCATCTGGGAGCATAAGGTTTCATATTCCTCTGCCTGTTTCCCTGTGCTACCTGGATGGCTACAGGCACCTCAAACTTAAAATATCCGAAGGGGGAGTCTCCATTCCCCTGACGAGGCTGGCTCCTTGGCCTGCATTCTGAATCCTGCCTTGTAGTTGGTGACACAACAACTTATCCATTCACTCATACTGGAGCCCTGGGACACATCCTTGATGTTCACCTCTTGCTTTGCAGAATCAATCAATTACCTGGTCCTGCCCACTTCACTTCCTATGTAGATATGTCTCATACCCACTGTATTCTTGATCTTTGTACCACCATTGCCTTTGTTCAGACTGCCAACATCCTTCAAAGCTGTGGCTCCTCGAAGTCCAACCCCTAGAGCAGAGGTGGGGAATGTCCGGCCCTCGGGCCGTGTGAGGCCAAGAAATCACTTGGTCTGGCCCTGCCAAGGCATTAGGGGTGAGTTAGTTAAATGTTTGACCAAATATAGCAGGCTAATTTTTTAAGTTGATAATGTTGTATGGCCCAAGATTGGTGTTATAAACATCCAAATGGCCTTTGGCAGAAAAAAGGTTCCCACCCCTGCTATAGAGCAATGACATTTCTCTCCTATATTTTGCTCATTCTCCTCTGTTTGGGCTCCCAGACCAAGGCATTTTAGGAGCACTTAAAGGGACAATTCGAAAGGAACACAGAGGAATGAGGCTCAATTCATTTTCAATCATAGGCAATGCCTGACATCAGGCAGCAAGCACCATTAGCCAATTTCTAAAATCAATAGGGGGGGGGGGAAATCTCTTTTATAAGAGAATTTTAACTTTTTCAATAAACAGAGTTAAAAATCTATTGTGGGAAGTCTAATGGTGAAATAAGGGCGCGCACACACATCAATCAAGTGTTTTCTGGTTCTTTCAAACACTCGCTGAGCTCCTCCCACTCTTCAGTGTTGCTGTCTAATTGGCCAGCGCTGGGTGAACAGTAGCAGTTGGAACCAGCTGCTTCTCTAGTTGGCGAAAACCCTCTGCTTTTCCTGGGGAAGCAAGGCCACCCCCTGGTGACTCCCTGATGTGAACCAGTGACTATGACCAGAAATGGTGGCTCAGAAGGAATCCAAACAACCAAAAATTCCCAGATAGTAACTTGTCGGTAATGGGTTTCTCCATCCTTGAGAGAGCCTTTGGAGAGAGGCAGGGAGAAGAAAGAGATGAAGCAAGTAGGGAATCCATTTCTAAAGGAAAGGGCTTAGGAGTGGTGGGGGATGGGGAGAGATGCTCAGGGCTTCAGAAATCTACCCACCTGCCTGGGCCAGGTCCTGCAGTGGTAGCATATTTCCCTACAGCTCCTGTGTTCAAAGAGAGCCAGTGCCAGGCAGAGATCCACTCTTTCCTCTCTGGACCCCCCATACCGCCGCAGTTCTGGAACCAGGAGAGCTCACGGTGGGTGGCTTTCTTTCTTCCATTGAGTGAAAACGTTTTCCATTAAGAGTTATAGAATCTCCAGCCAGGCAGAGGGGCCTGTGCCAACTAATCCCTTACAACTACCAATGCGGCAATTGTCAATTGCCTCCTCTCCTGGCCACACAGCACGGGGCTCTCACTGTGTGCCTTCTCTCAGTGGTTGCCTTCTCAGTCCCATTTGCTGCAAACCATGAATAGACACCTTCAAAAATAGCTCAAACCCATGCCCTTCGCTAATGCCCCCATCATTCCTGGCCACTGCGGTCTTTTTATCTGTCTCCCCACCTTGTGTGTGTTCCTTTATGGCCCTTACCACAGTTTGCAACTCTCCTATTTGCTGTTTGCTTATTTGTCTGCTTTGTAAGCTGGAGGGAAGAAAAGGAGATGTGCTTTTCTGATCATTTGATTCCCAGCTGCTAGCATGATACCTGGCACATAACAGATCTCAATAGGTAGTTATGGCATGGAAGGATTGATGGATGGATGTTGGATAGATGGATGTTGGATGGATGGATGGATGGATTTGGATGGATTGATGGATGGATGGATGGATGGATGTTGGATGGATGGATGATGGTTAGATGATGGATGGATGGATGGATGGATGGATGGATGATGGATGGATGGATGTTGGATGGATGGATGGATGGATGTTGGATGGATTGATGGATGGATGGATGGATGGATGGATGATGGATGGATGGATGTTGGATGGATTGATGGATGGATGATGGATGGATGGATGATGGTTAGATGATGGATGGATGGATGGATGGATGGATGGATGGATGATGGATGGATGGATGATGGTTAGATGATGGATGGATGGATGGATGGATGGATGTTGGATGGATTGATGGATGGATGATGGATGGATGGATGATGGTTAGATGATGGATGGATGGATGGATGATGGATGGATGGATGATGGTTAGATGATGGATGGATGGATGGATGATGGATGATGGATGTTGGATGGATGGGTGGATAAGGGACTTGTTAAATTAGTGGTATTGCCTGGCTTCTCAGGTCACAAGTGCCCGTTGCAGGCCACATGGACCACACAGGGAAGCTCTCGCCCAGAAGCTGGTTAGACTAGCTGGCTTGAAGCTAGACAGGCCTTTAGAGCCCACTGGGTCTGGCAAGCTGTGTTCTTGCCCAAAAAGGGTGCACTGGACACTTGCCCTGGTAGCCCAAGGGAACTATCTCAGATTCTGGCCACAGGACTGAGATTATCTGTCATTCACTCCCCCACTCTGAGGCCTGGGCTCTGTCTGGAGCCTGAATGAGCCTCTTCCCTTTGACCTGCAGTTGCAAAGAAACAGCATCCAAGGCCTGGCTGCCCTGATAAGAGGCTTGTGAGCCGCTTATGTGAGTCTCTGAGGGTGATGCTTAATAACTTAAAGGTGACATCAGGGTTGGGACTAATATCCGATTGAACAGAAAGAGACATGACCTAACTCGTCTCTCACCATGGGCCTGGCTGCAAGAGCTTCTCATTCTTTATTAATTTTCTAACTGGGGCTGCTGGCTCAGGACTCCAGCCTGTCGCCAGAGCTGGGGCCCACTGCCGGGCTCAACTCCAGCGTTATTGGGAAGGGAGCAGGCTCAGCTGGGTCTGTGAGCCCCCGTGAAGGGTGGCCACCATCGAGACTGTGCTGATTATGGCCAGAGCCCGTCCGCCAGTTTTCCCTACCATCCCGCTGATTGGCCATGCTTTGAGAAAATCCAGTAGGGCAAACTCAAAGTCTCTAAAGAATTCCTCTCATCGGCCAGCAGGCTTCCCTAGGCCTGCAAAGGATGGTTTTATTTGTGTTTAAAAAATGATTTAAAACCAGTTTTCCAAGAGCACAAATCCTGTCTAAAGCACCCAGCACACCTGGCTAGAGCTGAATGCCTGTGTCTGAGCTGAACGCCTGCCCGGTGGGACTGTGCTGTCTTCGGTTGTTTTCTTTTAATATACTCTTCACAGGAGGAAGAGAAATCCCTTACTCCTTATCACCTTCCCGCCCCCAGCTCCTACCACACACACACACACACACTTCAGGGACTGACGGACTGAGGTTCTGACCCAGGCTCTGCCACGAACTGGCCATGTGGTTTTGGTCAAGTCAATTAATTTCTCTGAGCCTTAGTTTTCTTATCCCAGTG